ATTATTTGTTTATTAGGCGTATTTGACACTTGCCTTTGGGTGAATGGTCGAATTAAAATTATTATCGCGCACTGAACATGCTAAGTTGCCAAGTAAGCGATCGGCGGCCTCCTCTCCCGGCCTACACAGTTCTCGTTTGAACAGCTCGCAACACTGTTCTTTTTCTGTGAAAATTGGTTCACTTTTGAAAAATGAAGTGACGGCGGTGCTTCGCCTACTAAGGACCCGTTCATACGTTGCGACGAGTGAGTAGGGGAAGAAGGGAGTAGGAGAACTGGAGAGCAGCCGCCAAAAGAAAGTGTAGGTATCGAATCGGATTTTAACGAGAACTAGAGAAAAGGAGAACCGTGGAATCAGTGCTTTCATTGCAAAAGAAGTGGACCTGAGTCGATCGACTCCTACCAGCCAATTCTCACAAAACGCCATATCGATAAATACACTTTTCTTGGCGCGTATTCTTCTACTTTGGCGATTCGCAAACGATGAACGTGGTCTAAGGGACCAGTAACTATCAGTGGCAGAACAAGATGCGACGCATTGACATGTCACATGCACTTAAAATTCCTGGGCACTTACGCTAGCGATCACATCACCGAAACCGCGGCCCCATCCCTTTTTCTGATGAACACACTGCGGGAATGTTTAAACTCTGAATCTGATCCCCCCCCCTGTTTGCTAACATAGTTCAGCTAGATAGAAAGGAAGAAGAGTAAAGATACCTTTGTTGGGAGCGACTTTGGGTGTCAACTCTTTTTCCTCGTCACTGCTGCTCTCTTCCTCTTCCTCATCCTCATCAACTTCTTCATCCTCGTCTTCTTCTTCATCGTCATCAGACTCCTCTGCCGTGACACCCTTCTTCGGTCCAGTGTTACTTTTTGGTACAACACTTGGTTGCTTCTTCGCAACGACAGGCGCCTCTTCTTCTTCATCTTCTGAAAAATTCAAAACGATGAATGTGTAACTTGCTATCCGACTGATATAAGAGAATGAATAAGCTTGACCTTTCGAACACGACTTCGTCCGAAATTGTATCCCCAAAATCGAAGGAGTAAATAGTAAATCGGTAACGAATACATAGGCTACTGACAGTAAGATTTACGTTACCCTCGGCTGTCTGTTAAATGATTGTGATACCACAAAACATCAACCAAGAAAACTGCCGTTTCACCGCACTTAAATTTAATCTTACTCTCTGTCGAAAGATGCGTTAGTACGACCCCGCTCAACAAAAGAAAGTGCGCAGCTGTAACAGTTCGAAAGAAGGAAACAGATTAGGGCTATTGCACGCCAGTAAAAAAACTGAATCACGAAATATGCAATACCCACCATCCTCCTCACTTTCTTCGTCCTCCTCTTCGTCCTCGTCTTCAACACCGTCATCTGATTCCTCCTCCTCTTCCACCGCCTACAAAAACAAACATTGAAAGTTGCATCGTATTCAGATGGAAGGTAGTCAGAGTATTCTTTGAGTTACAGTAAGAAGGACCTGCACGGGTTTCCCTTTCACTTTTTTCTTTTCGCTTACAGGAGCAACCATCTCTTCCTCCTCGTCCTCATCATCCGACTCCTCTTCATGTTTCGCCTGAGAAAGCAGCTTTGATCGAAATAAAGCTGCCCACAACAAGCACACTAATTAAAGTTACTGAAGGAGGTGAAACTTACTCGTTTCGGTGTTATTTTTGAATGTATGGGAGTATTCGTTGCAGACTTCGCCTTCTTCACTTTATGAGTGTCTAAATGTACAGATACTGGCTTGTCCATACAATGTGCCTTTTGGTCGTATGACCATAAGACAGAAAAGAAAGCTATACTAAAAAAAGACACAACGATATATCACTTAAAAGTCTTGTTCGCTGCAGATGAAGGGGCGTGTCAGGCGGGATGAGAATGGCGCTGCGTCAAACCCATCCTCCCCCCGCTGCTGAAGTGTCGACAACGATTGATAGAAAGACTGATAGGATCGCTATGATACTGTTTTCTCGCTTGTTCGCTACAACAGTTGGTGGAAAATATGGCGCAGCGCTAAATCCTTACCGCCTGAAACGCCCTTCATTCGCAGCGACCAAGACTACATCTACGACTGTATCATTAAAACTGCTGATCTATCCGCTCAGCTGACCACATT